CGCTCAACGCGTCAGTTATTATACAAGAATCGTGGGCAGATCGTTCTTCGTGGTTGCAAAATTAAGATATGCCAGTGTTAGAAATAAAATTTTATCGAGCCCTCGCGTGTAAGCCTTCAAAGTTACTTATTCGTATATAGCTTTTAACAGAGTCTATTTCTAACAGCCCTGTAGAAATGAAAAGCTTACCTCATTAACCACTGGCATTACCAATTTCGAAATCGTTTTCCATCGTTCAATTTGCGGAGAATCTCTTTCATAAAAGGGTTTTCTCGCAGAACTATAAGGGCAACTATAAGTCGCACGGAGACGCTCGTTTTTAACGCGTAACTAACCACTCGACCGATCTCCTTTCGTTATATTCCGCTTGGAATAAGATACGACTCGGAATATTCATGGGTGAATATCCCCGCGTTAAATCTCCGTAAATCTCCGTAAATCTCGTGCGCCGTTTGAATTGCCACGGAAGCAAGTAGCGCGAATCGCGAATTGGATTTGATTTCGATCGCGTCCGTGGTCCAGACATTTCTCATTCGAATCGAAGAACATTACATAGGGAGGAGTTGGATCATCGATATTCGTCGATAACGTATAGCTCGCACCTGCCTACGTGTAAGTAAATGTCACGATTCCCACGTGGAACGTCCAATTTTCATTCGCACGTAAATTGGGAACACGCTCGACTGCCGGTTAATTAATAGCGACCAAAATGCATCTCCCTGGCGTCGTGAGAAATCTCACTCTCGCGGCGTCGTCGTCGTCGTCGTCGTACGTACACCATCTGTCCGGGAGAAAAGAGGATAGAAGGAGAAAAGCGAGTAGCGGCTATAGGTCATAATTCAAAGCGACCTGGCAATTGTCTATTCCGAGGCGAAAAGATATTGGCGATAGCGCCGGTTCCTACGACCAAAAATATATTGCCGGGCTATGCAAAACCATTGGCTTTCTCTATTATTATCGTTATAAATAAAGACATTGCGGAGGCATAGAGCGGGATAGGTACCGTCCGCGAAAATAATCGATGACTTTCACGGTAAATGTCACCGCCGATCAACGGACTACCTCCTCCTCCTCTTACCCCGGCGTTGCGTAGGTTGCCTTTACTATATGAAGAAAAAGAATCGATATCGATTTACTAGGATAGAGGAACTAAGATAAAATTTGTTAGATGGTATTTCTGATTTCTATTAAAGCGCCTAAAGATCATCGAAAAGAAAATCTTTCGCCTCGTTCGGCGTTATTCGTCATTACGATTGTCGCGCATGATTTAGTTATAGATACGTAGACTGCCCACGTAATAGGTAAATGTTAATCAAGCAATGGACTTTTTCGATAAGATTACGAAGATAAATGTTCTTTTTTTTTCGCATAAACAATGCACAAGACGGAGTGTCCGATAAAACGATGCGATAGTACGCTATCTCGCATAATAACCTATGAGGTAACGCGCGTATTATTATGTACACGATAAATAGTCATATGCTTCCAAGTTCATAAAATGGTAGGTCGCAAACATTAGGTTGAACTCGACTCGATAGATAAATGCCAGTAAAATGCCGTTAACCAGGACGACGGTCGAAAGTTGGAGAGAACGTGGTAAGCTCGGACAGAAATACGAACGTTGCTTTGAGCTAACGTACATATATATATATGCATAAACTGCTATAGGTAGGATTTTTGCAATAAAACTTTTAATACCGTTCCGGCCGACGTTTCAACGCGCTCGAATTAAAACTACTTACAGAAAAAGTTTTAGCGGCCAAGTTTTTCGATGAAACTCTTTAAAAACGACGAAGAGGTAGAACGCGCCAGGATTAGAAAAACAACAAGACGGGTCTCCTTCCGAACCCAAATCTCTAGTCTAAATATAGATAAAGTTTTGTTCGAAATTTCATCAGGATCGTTATATTATAGACTTTCAGAGTATTTCCAAAAAATATTAATACCTTAAAACAAGAGTTATATTATTCCACGTTAATATTCAGACAAATCAATAACAATGATAATAATCGTTATGTAAGGCAACGAGACAAGATTCTGTACGGATTGTGGCCCACCCTTGTAAAAGAGTGAACGGGAACGTTGTGGGACGCGTATCCGAGGCCTACGCGATATCTATGAGCAAAATCGTGCACGCGAGGGAGAGGGAGAGAGAGAGAGAGAGAGAGAGAGAGAGACTCGTCGTGTAATTTCGTGCATTATTAGCATAGAGAGCACGAGAGTGTAGGTGGAAATGTTCCCATTGGATATTTCCCGTAGAATAGACGGTACACGCACGAGGTACGTGCACCTACGCACTTTCCGAAGGATCCAGAAACGATCCTGGAACGTTTCGATGAAAGGGAAAGAGAGATGGCTACCACCACCTCTGTCCATGTAGTAATGACTAGTAATAAACGGGCGTGAGAGCAAACGGTCCGTTCATTAGCGTTAATTGTCCTCGAGATAAGGCCGATTTTCGAGGGAAAACCATGGCGTTCGATCGGATGGATGCGTTTCCAGAGAAATATTTGCCTGTCATGTCGCTCGTCCCCTTTTTGCCTTACGAAGAGACTAAAATCAAGTTTTAAAACAAAGCTAAAACAAAAGTATGAGTATCGTTTAACGGGGATAACTCTATTGACTTTACGATAAACTCATTGATATCGTATAATAATGATTTGGAAAACTCGTTTGCCAAAAGAAAATGTATTATTACGTTTCGTTAATAAAGCCAGGGGACAAAGGCAGGAGATTTTTTTTAGATAAATGTATTCGCAAAAAAGGAGAAACAATCGGCGGAAGCCGATTCGCAGCGATAATTGAACTCCAAAGTCGAGCCCGAAAGCATGAAAGAGCTTTTATTGCTTTTATTTCTTTTTTTTCTTTTTTTGTTTTTTTGTTTTTTTGTTTTTTTGTTTTTTTGTTTTTTTTTTTGCCGCGGACAAGAGGCAGCAACGTGCGCATACACACCGTCGTCGCCGGCATTGTATGCCATCGGTCAGTTTGAGAAAAGTTTGACAGCTGGCCGAGAGATGAGGACAGTGGATTTCTCTCTCTTCTTCCCAAACAAAGACTCTGATTTTAGCAGAAAATAAAAGCAAATTACATCAGCTGCATCGGGACTCTCCTTCCTCTCTTCTTTTTCTCCTTCTTCAGGCTTCTCCCACTACGTCCTACGTTTCTTCGAAATCCAACCTTCTCTCGTCCTTTCATTCCTTCGAGGAATTCCACAACGTCCTTTTCAACGTTCTCGCTGGCTATAACCTATGGGTGGTAACGATAGGTACGGCTACCGGACAACCGGATGGAAGGGAAAAACGAGACGCGAGAGAGCGACTTGAATTCCACGAGGCACGCACAAGTATCGTGCTTTAACATCAACCTTCCTCCTTTCTTTTCTCTTGGATTCTCCGTTTCTCGCGTATCGTGGAGTCTATCGGCGTTCTATCGCTCGGCCACCGTCAACGATTCGAGAAATTCCAAAGGGCGAAAGGGAAAGAAGGATATGACGACGGCGGCGGCGGCGATGACGACGAAGAAGAAACTCTCTATTAAAGCACTTGTCTAGATTTATTTTTTCTTACTTATATCGAAGATAGAGAAAATAACTCGAACGAGTGTGTCACGAGGATCGACCATCCAGATTACTAAATGAACAACCTTGTCTCGTCCGTCACGTGCAATTAGATTCGGTACGCGTGATTCAAAGTTGAGTTAGGTCGTCCTCGCCAGGAGAAGATATGGTAATGTAGTTTAGCCCGTTACCTTGGGGCTCTTGTCTTCCTCAAGAGAAACGGTAATGCCAGTAACAACGTGACGCGCGGATATCTCCCAAAAGTTATGAACATCATTGAGAGAGCGTCGAGAACCAACGTCCATTCTGAATATGCATGAAGTTTTCTGAATAATGCGGAGAACGTAGAGAACTCGAACGTTAATCCACGTTGGACGCGGTACACTTCTCGAGAGCAATCAACGATCTTTGTCACCATCATCCACGACCGGACTCTTCTCTTCTCCTCCTATGCCATAGAGAGAGCTATTCGTCTTTGTAAAGGTAGAGCTGCACCACTTATGGTAATATTTCGTGCATCGTGCGACAGCATGCATAATGCAGCCTCGAGACTCCTCCGAAATTTATGCTCCGAATAACAGACCGACTAGCGTAACTCGTGCTCGTGAGAGAGAGAGAGAGCGAGAGAGAGAGCGAGAGAGAGAGCGAGAGAGAGAGAGAGAGAGAGAGAGAAGGGAAAACGGTCAACTTCTGTATCCTATGCAGTTCCTACGAGAAACATCTGCTACGAAACAGCGACTATTATCCTCGCTCGTCGTGTAAACCATTCTGGATTTCATGAACATCGAAGAGTGTTTGGAGCGTCATCCAAGTGGCAACTGTCTTTAGAGATTCTTGAAAATGGTGTTACCGGCGCTGTCTAACATTTCGACAGAATACTTTACTACTAAAGTGGTACTTGAGAGACAGACAGAGAGAGAGAAAGAGAGAGCTAAAGACAATTTTTATCTCGTAACGCAACGGACAATCGATAGTACCATATTACACACGCACACACCCACTCCATATGTATATATATATATATATCTTCTTTTTTTCATATTATATACAAATACCTCGACGAATAAACATCCTACTTTGATAACAAACGGATTAAAAATCATTACGCGTAACGAAAGAGCGAAGCTCACAGGTTTCTCTTGTCTTACGCACGCACGCACGCACGCACGCATGCAAGCAGGGTTGCGAAGCCAAGGGGTAACTTACCCCTTCGTAAGATTCACTTACGCGCAACAATTTACGTAACTCTTTGAATACGATACTTTTGTGTTCCATCCTTTTAAATACAATTACTAAGTACAATTACGGAAAAGATAGAAATAAAACTAAAGGAAAAAAAGAAAGAAAAAAAGATGAAATAAAAAGGAGCAAGCTCCGCTTTCAAGGAAGATGAACTAAAGCGTATCCTAACCTCGGCTTGCCATTGAAGAAAGGGTTCACTCACCGTTGCCGAGATGTGCAGTGTATTCCGAGTAAGCCTGACTCCTCTTGGCAGACGTTAAAATCCAGCTGTATACGCGTCTCCGTCTTTCTCTATCCGTATCCTTCTATCCTTGTCCGCTTGCTTCCACAGTCCGTAAAGAGAAAGAGAGAGAGAGAGAGGGAATGAAAAACGTACAATGTGTGCCGGCCGACCAGACGAGTACACGCGCGCGCGCGCGCGCGCGCGAGCGAGCGAGCGAATGAAAGAAAGAGAGAGAGAGACACGTAGTCTCCCACGAGAAACTGTAGGACGTAAAAAAAAAAGGGGGGAAAGAAAATAAAGTAAATTGCCACGACGTTACGACGCCGCGATGTCGATGAACGCGAACGACGGGCTACACGATCGACGACGACGACGACGACGACGGCTGCTGTTGCCGACTACCACACCGTTCTACTGGCGCTACCGCCAATCTACTGCTGCAACGATCGGCGGAGGCGCTGCCCGCGTACTGTGCCGAAGAACCAAACCAGTATGGCGCCCAGCAGCCTTTTCTCCTTCGTCCCAACCTCACCTTCCCCCTCTATCGGACGCCCGGCCGGACTCCCCGCTGCCCGCATCCCTCAGCCCCATGGCCCCGACCGATCCCACTTTGCGCCCTCTACGAGCGCACCCAACGAAGCTCTTTCTATCTTTCTCTCCGGCGTATGTACGTGTTTGCTCTTCGTTCAACGCGCATACCAAGGAGTCTATCACTTTTTTCTTTCTCTCCCTCCCTCGCTAACCCATACAGCGAGTCTTTTTCTCTTTCTCAAGCTCCTTCTATATCTATAACGCTGCCGAGTGTTACCACCGTATATTCTTGTCCTTCTTCCGCTCTCCCTTCTGCTACCTTTCTCTTCCTCTGTCTTATGTTGCACGAAAGATGCGGCTTCGCTCGTCCATCTCTCTCTTTCTCTCTCTCTCTCTCTCTCTCTCTCTCTCTCTCTCTCTCTCTCTCTCTCTCTCTCTCTCTCTCTCTCTCTCTCTCTCTATCTCTCTGTCGGGCTTGCACGGAACGACGTAGCACCCATCCTTGTCTGGCCTAACATAATACTGTCTCATTTCTCAGGGGTTATCCGCCCTTGTCGTATTCCGCCGATCTTTCGACTCTCCGCGCATGCATCACTCCCCTCCAGGATACGCATCGTCTTAGAACAATACGATCAACGTATCTCTTTTTATTATTCCATCTTTGTCGCTTATACCGGTTACCACCTCCCTCGCTCTCTCTCTCTCTCTCTTTCTCTATCGCTTCGCTCTACCAACGAACCATTGCATCTGCTTTTTTCTTCGCGAGCGCGCGTAGGAGCCACGAGTTCTGTTTTCTCTCTCTCTCTCTCTCTCTCTCTCTCTCTCTCTCTCTCTCTTCGTCCTCTCCGACGGCGTCGAGAAACGTCTTTGTTCTCGTTTGATGGCTGTGCGCTTACATCGCAAAATAGCTCGGCAGTTTTCTACCCAGCCGGCGACGTAGACGTTAAATCGGCGAAAACTTTACGACAACGACGTAAAGTTCTTTCTCTCTCTCTCTCTCTCTTTCTCTCTCTTGTTGGGTTAAGAGCAAAAAGAAGATAGACCGTGGTTTTCGCGAGTTTGGTCGCGACACCGGCCCCAACAGCTCTTCCGTGTGTGCGTGATCCATAGGCGCGTGTTTGCTCCCCTCTTTTCATCTCAGTTCGAAGGGCTGTGTGCTCGCTCGGTTCGTGAGCGTGAACGAAACACCGAATGAAAATTATAAATCGATCGTCGTTAATAACTCTCTGGACGGTGACGCGCGTGGTCGGAAAAAGAGTGCTCCTTGTTATTTTGTTTTTCACGGAAACAAATTGCTACCCTTTCCGTACAAGACCGCTAGCGTTCCGTCGCTTTGCTATTTCACTTTTTGTCGTAAAGGAAAATTATTAGTCGGGCAAGGAAGGTACGAAGGTCGCGTGCATTCTTGCGATTACCGACAATTGCACGAATTGGAATATTAGGAACGATCGTTCACCAACGAAAAGTTTCTACATAATTAGCTACGAGGAGAAACGAAAAGAAAGGGACACATCTTTTCTACGTTATTGCTTTCGTTATATAAAATAAGCAAAAAAGAAAAAAGAAAAAAGAAGAAAGAAAAAAAAAAAAAAGAAGAAAAAAACGCAGTTTTAGCAAACGAACGGAGTTGCTATGCTAAAAGTAGCTTCCGGAGCTGCGATCAATTTTGCTTCGTTCGTTTTCCTAACAATCTTCTATATATGCATTTTTATTTCGATCGTTCCCGAGGCTTTATCCGCTTACATTGCGGTCGGCTTTCGATCCGTCTTAAATAACGTAGACGCCTCGTTATCGTTTAATCATTTCGATAGAAATTCTCATAAGGGACATTTCAAAGATTTAGCCAAAGTGATAGGCGAACGTACGATCGATCGACCTACCGTCGTTCGTTCGAAGGAAGAAAGTGCTACTTTAGATATTCACCTTACGTTAATCCCATCGTTAGCTATCATTAATGGATATTTATTAGTTCGTTAGGAGAACGTTAATCGTCGATCACGGCCGATGATAAGATCGAGCGTTTTAAATTGCGATTAAGTTTATCTATTTTTATCGATTTTTCCTAACGAAATATCTATCTACACCCGGCTCTACTCAAGTTCGAATCTCATTTTTTCACGTACGTAAGATTTTTGTCCGAAACGTAACATTTTTTTTTCTAAGAGTCGTTGCATCGGCAGATAGTTGCGCGCGGTTGCGATATAACATCTCGTTATGAGAAGAATTCGAAATCGGAGTTAATAGAAAGAAACGGAGGCGAGAGGTAAAAAAGAGAGGGCTATACGCAGAAAGGGGATAGAGGCCGACTCGTTTGCGTGGTTCGCTCCCTTTTCATCTCCATGGTTGCGGACCTTCAGTGATACTCAACCTTGACAGATATATCTGCCCTCGAATAATTGCGTCGAATTCTTCCTGATCGAAGTGTAATCTTCGATCGCTTCGACAATGATCTTCGATAAATAGAACGATAGCCAACGAAGTTTCGAATCTATAAAGTTCAGTCTATGTCGGCTAACGGCCGAATTACCTTTCAACGAGATCACGTACTTACGTACTTGCATATGATTCATCGTATGTACGTACTGCACTCGTACCGACTGATACGAATTCTAAGAGAACGAAACTAACGAACGTCTATGGATTCTTAATTAGAGTAACGGAATTATTCCCGAGGAATGTCTGCGCGTCTATATACGTCTATATATTCTATATGTCTGTTCGAACTAATTTTATTTCCTCGAACGTCGATTCTCATGACGTTCTTCCCTCCTCGTTTCTAGTACCATCGAAACGTTGTTTCTGCTACGTCGCGGAATTCAGAGGCGGCAGAGGCAAGACAAAGAGAGAGAGAGAGAGAGAGAGAGCGGGAGGAACTTTACGGTACGCGATCGCGTAAAAACGTCCATTCAGTACTTTTTTTGCACGTATCGAAGAAGCAAACTGTACGCGTCCTTTGTTCTTTAGGAAGAAATTCGTTCGCTCTATATCGCCAACTTCCCCTTTCTATAGAACCATATTACTCTCCCTACTGTTCCGGCCTAAATCTTTTCCCCTCTATTTCCTTCTGCTACCGTTTCTTCTACAATGTTTCTCTCTCTCTCTCTCTCTCTCTCTCTCTCTCTGCAAGCTCGGTCGATCGTTTAAAGAAAACAAAGAAAGAAATATAGAGCAGCGAAGAAGACGTATCGTATCTGGAAATATTTTTCTGAAATTTCTTTCCTTAAAGAAAACTTTCTATAGGCGCTACCAGAGCAGCTTCCAACTGGAATGAATTTCGTTCTCGTTGAATTCGTTTTGCCTTAAGCGTTTGCATTTTGGATAAAACTCGCGAGAAAAAAAAATGATCGAAAGTAATCTTAGGCGATGAGAAAACTACTAGGAGGAAGCTAGCCGATGGTAGGGAGAGAGAGCATACTAGCTACGACGGCATGGTAGCTTCTTTACGATTTCGCAAACGGAGAGTGCATTTCGCTGGGAATAGAAAAAAAGTCCTTTCTCGCTGATATTTCCCGGACGAACGAATCTCAGGTGCCACGTTTTGAGAAAACTCAATTTCTTTCCTTTGCGAGAAAAATGGAAACGGTATCGAAATGATTTTTTATTTTGCTTTTTCTCGAGACTCTGTCCTTATGTCTTTTTTTGCGATACTACAGATGCGATACTACTGATTTGAATTGTATGGATAACGCGAACGTCTTTAACGTTTCAAACGGAAAGAATTTCGATAATTTAATTGAAAATGATCGATGACGCTCGAGGAAGGTTTGCCATGGTATGAAGCTTTTCTCCGTCTTCCGTTGGCATCGCGATGCGCACATTCTCTCTAACTGGCAAAAAATTTAATTAGCTTCCTACCTACCTACCATCCCGCGTTAGAATACCGCGGAGAAAACAATAAGTAAGTTTCCCTCGGTGCATACAATGTATAACATTATCAGAGAGTTTTACGATATTCAACGGTGCGCGAAAGAAAAATTAATTATCCGACCCTTTTCGTACGACGAGCTCCAACGACGAGTTCTTTTGTCACTGTCCGAACTGTCTTTAAATATTCTTTTACGTTTATTTCCACCTTCGAAAAAATCGCTAATAAACTTTTTCGACCGGACCGGAATCGTAATTAATCATTGCTCCTTAATTTAACGGATAAACGATTAGAAATTCGTTGCCGTTGCGAAGGAGAATCATCGGTTCAATTTCGAACGGGTTTCCCGAGGAAGGAGACACGCCCATGACAAACGACGAATTTCAATTTCGTTCGTCCGGACTGGCCGACAATTAAAGAAGATGCGTAGGTAGAGACGCGAGAACTAATCATCCTCACCATCGCTCACCAACCAGACCATATCGAGCCATATATGCCCTCCACCTATCCTAATATATTTCTTTTCTAATCTAATTGATAACGATGGATAAAAAAAATTGTATCGTATCGTTAAAATAGATCGAACTTACGAAACGCATTACATAGAAAAAATTCATGTAACGCGAAAGTGGAAGGATAATGAAAAAAAAAAAAAAAAAAATTCGCAATAAAAGAATCGCAATAGATTAAACTAGATATATAAAGATATGCCTCCGTAGGAATGGCCGGTATTATTGAATACATCAAAGGGAAATAGGCTCTTCTTGAGAGTGGTTTCGATCGACCTAATTTTCCGACCTAAAGGAGCTTTACGTTGGCTTTTATTTAACCATTCCCAACGATCTCTCGAACCTAACGAACCGTGTATCGACGACGAGTTCAAGTATGAGAGTTCAAATCGATATCCATTAATCAACGTATCGTTAACTACGATCCTTTCTGCGACAAATTTCATTGTCTTTCTGCGCGTTCCTAAATAAGAAAGGTGTCAAAGAGAATACATAAATCGTATAATTCTCGTGTACGTCGAAGGGAGAAAACGACGTAATAACCAATAGACGCGTCGTACGTCTGCGCCATCAAAGAACTCTTTTCTATCCCGTTTCTTTCGTTGTCTCGTTTTCTTC